GCTAGAGAACGTGAAAGACTCACAGAGCCAGAGAGTCCCCAATTGCTTTACCACACTATTCTCTGAGGAAGGCAGGACACTGGTGAGTGGGGCACCATCACATACAGTTCTGCAGGCTCACTGAAGCCTTTGGCCCTTTATTCACAAAGGGCGTGATGAGAACAGGTCTGAGTCTATGGTAATAGGTGGTGGTAGTGGTGGTGAAACTGTACTCCTTGCTGCCTCTGGTGGCTGTCCATGCCATCATTTTTGCTTCATGTAGTCTGTGACTCTTGTGACATGTACACACGTTCTCAATCATTTTGCCTTCTTGATTGATCTTTTCAAGCATGATAAATGTCTTTGGCTCTATTACAGCTTTTACCTTCAAGTCTACCTTGACTGACATTAACATGTTAGCCCTGTTTGAGATGTCTAGGGCATATCTTTTTCTATCCTTTTGTTTTCAATGTATTGATGTCTTAGAATTGTAAAATTGTTCTTTGTAGGGAAAGCAAAGGAGCACAGTACATAATTCTTCAATCTGTCCTACAGTATCTAATTCTAATTAGGTTGTATAACTCATTCCTGTAATCACCAAGAAAGGAGAATTTGTGTGGAGCTTTTCTTTTTCTTTCTTTCTTTTTTATTAAATACTTTATTTATTTACATTTCAGATGTCATCCCCTTTCCTCATTCCCCCAACACACCAAAAAAAAAAAAAACCCTATCCCATCACCCCTCCTCCTTTTTGCTTTTATATTGTTTTAATTACATGCAAGTTTTAAGGTCAGTTCTAGGTTGAGGAACTAGCAATAAAATAGGTGCAAATAGTCAATGAAAAAGCAAGACAATAAACACAAATCATCAAAGAACAAGCAATGCAATAAACAAAGTTCTGTGAACACTCCCGTGATCACTGTTTCTGAGGGCTTACCAGGATGACCAAAATATCTGGGCCTACTTCCCTGTCCTAGCCCAAAGTCATTTTCATGTCTGAAGCCTACTTCCCTGTTCTAGCCTAGCATTTAGTTAGATTCCTGCCTGAAATTACTTCTTTGCTCTAGCCTAAGGTTTAGATTCCTTCCTGAAATTACTTCTTTGTTCTAGCCTAATGTCAGATTCCTGCCTGAAGCCCACTTCCTTATCCTTGGCCAATGTCATACACCTGGCAAGCAACCCTTTTCTTTGCCCTTGGCCTGTATCTAATTCTTGCCAAGCAGCCCCAAAAGCACTCCACCTCTCTCCCTTTTTTATTTCATAAACAAGACTGAGTCTGTCATAGGTCGTTCTGACAAGAATGCCTTCCTTACCTGTCGTATGTCGTAGAATATGCATTATCAAAAGCAATGCACTTCTGCCTTAGGTTGGTAAGGCTCTGTGCAGAATCTTACCCATCTTTGGCTTGCCAGTCTGTTAATTTAATAACTCTGTCTGAGGGTCCATTTTCAGGTTCAAGCCATGTACTTTGGCTGTCAAAATGTTGAAAGACAAGCTTTAACACAATGGTCAGGAATAAAAGTATTCTCAGGACAAAAAGGGCTAGCATGATCAAGCTATATATGCCATTCTTGAAGCTTGACCAAAATAGAAATACTGACCTCAGGCCATGGGTAACTTTATCAGCAGCTTCTGCCACATCAACACTCAGCAAAGCATCATTCTTTAAATTCATAAGCTCACTATGCAAAATTAAAACATCTAGAGAGGTGTCAGAATTATGCCAAATACTGTGTCTTTAAACTTTTTCCTAATGACTACCACTGTAAATTTTAGAACTAATACAAATCCAATGGTATTTTGCATGACACTTGAGAAGGCTCCTAACTCTTAAAACTCTGAACCTCCTACCAATAATTTGAATAGGATAAAGAGCATCAATCCATTCTTCCAAATGCCTATCTAAATCCTCTTGCATATTCAATACATTAGTAACATTTTTTGCTAAATGATTAACAAAAGTAGCTGTCTTAACTTCTTATGTCAAAGCAATTGCAGAAGCAGTGATGCTAGCAATTACTGTAATTAAAGCTGTTATACCAGCAATAATCAAGCCCATTACCCTCTTGCTTCTGCGTAAAGCCTGACTCATTTCTTCCAGTACTTGCAAGCTTTTTTCAAAATACCAAGGTTCTATGATACTCAGGGCAATAAAACAAAAGCTGGTTGATAGATTTCCATAACAGACATGCCAGGTTTCGTCACATTTACACAATTAGAAAGTGTACAATCAGTGCAACTTACATTAAATACTGTAGAAGAAACAAAATTTTAACTTGACAATTAAAAGAGCCTTAACACATGTACTAACACTTGTCTGAAATCCAGATCCTGTCCCAACTTTATCTCTTGCTAACATAATATCATAGAGAACTTCAACTAACTTCCAAATATGTCTCTGAAAATGTCCAGAACAAGACTTCCAAATGAAGACTGTTATTTCCAATATTGGACTGATTTCTAGACTAGTCTATGATTGAGTCCAAATAACTGATCACATTTTAAAAAAATCCAAGAGTCATTATAACTTCTCTTTTTGGTTCTCTGTTCCACAGGGTCTAAAAACTTGAGGCAAGGCAGCTTGTCCCATCTGGGATATAGGCAAGCAAAGGTGGGTCGGGAACATGTGTCCAATACAGCTTCCCAGTCACCATTGTCAGGGCACTCAGCAAGCTCATAAGGCAAAGGACACTGTCAATAGGACCAATCAGCAACCAACAAATTGGGAAAAGATCTTTACCAATCCTACATCTGATAGAGGGCTAATATCCAAAATATACAAAGAACTCAAGAAATTAGACTCCAGACAACCAAATAACCCTATTTAAAAAAAATGGGGTATAGGGATCAACAAAGAATTTTCAACTGAGGAATATTGAATGGCCGAGAAGCACCTAAAGAAACGTTCAACATCTTTAGTCATCAGGGAAATGCAAATCAAAACAACCTGAGATTTCACTTTATACCAGTCAGAATGGCTAAGATCAAAAACTCAGGTGACAGCAGATGCTGGCAAGGATGTGGAAAAAGAAAAACATTCCTCCATTACTGGTGGTTTGCATGCTGATACAACCACTGTGGAAAGCAGTCTGGCAGTTCCTCAGAAAATTGGACATAGTATTACCTGAGGATCCAGCTATACCACTCCTGGGCATATACCCAAAAGATGCTCCAACTTATAACAAGGACATATGCTCCACTATGTTCATGAAGCTCCAATTTATAACAAGGACAGCCTTATTTATAATAGCCAGAAGCTGGAAAGAACCCAGATGTCCTTCAACAGAAAAATGGATACAGAAAATGTGGTACATTTACACAATGGAGTACTACTCAGCTATTAAAAACAATGAATTCATGAAATTTTTAGGCAAATGGATGGAACTAGAAAGCATCATCCTGGGTGAGGTAACCTAATCACAAAAGAACACACATGGTATGCACTCACTGATAAGTGGATATTAGCCCAAAAGCTCACAATACCCAAGATACAACTCACAGACCAAATGAAGTCCAAGAAAAAGAAAGACCAAAGTGTGGGTACTTAGGTTTTTCTTAGGAGTAACAAAATACTCAAAGACACAAATATGGAGACAAAGTGTGGACCAGAGACTGAAGGAGTGACTATCCGGAGACTTCCCTACCTGGGGATCCATGCCATGTGCAATCACCAAATGTAAACACTGTTGTGGATGCCAGGAGGTGCATGCTGACAGGAGCCTGATATATCTGTCTCCTGAGAGGTTCTGCAAGAGCCTGACATATACAGAGCCAGACGCACGAAGCTAACTATTGAACTGATCATGGGGTCCCCAATGGAGAAGTTAGAGAGAAGACTGAAGGAGTTAAAGGGGCTTGTGGCCCAATGGGGAGAGCGACAGTACCAACCAACCAGAGTTGCCAGGGTCTAAAGAGTCAGCCTGGGAACACACATGGAGGGACCCATGGCTCCAGCTGTATATGTAAGGGAGGATGGCCTTGTCAGATATCAGTGGGAGAGGAGGGCCTTGGTCCTATGAAGGCTGGAAGATCCCAATGTGAGGGAATTCAAGGGCGGAAAGGGGGGAGTGGGTGGATGGGTGGAGCACACACTCATAGAAGTAGGAGGATGGGGAATGGGATAAGAGGTTTCTGGAGAGGGAATGGGGAAGGGAATAACATCTCAAATGTAGATAAATAAAATATCCAATAATAATAATAATAAAAAACAGATAATGTATAGAGCTTTCTTTGTTGTCATTTCTCTATTCGATCATCTCTGTCTTCTTTGGTGTTATCCAGATATATTCTATTTCGGTATTTTAATCTACTTCAAATTTGTTCTACTTATCTTAAAACATCATCATCACCACCACCACCTATAAGGCAGGGACTCATGCAGCTGCCGCTGCCACTACCACCACCACCATCATCATGTATAAGAGAGGGTCATGTAGCTCAGGCTGGCGTCAAACTTGCTATGTAGCTGAGGATGACTTTGAATTTCTGATCTTCCTGCTTAGTACAAAAGTATTGCTAATGAGGCAAGGAAAGTGAATGCTGAAAATGACCTCTGGATTTAGCAGTCTGGAAGCCTTCAGAGGGCGGGAATGAAGATAAAGAAACAAACTGCAAGTTGACATCACCAAAGGAGAATTACCTGTGGATACAAAGCCTCCCACTGTGCACTGAGAACAAAATGAGAAAGATCCAGTTGAGAGGGAATGGCTCCAGACAGGGGAGAATGAAGCAGAAGGAGACACCTCAGACATGGGGTAGGAGATTTATTTGCTCAGAGACTTTAACATTATCACTGTCCAAAGAAATAATGTGGACACAGAGCTAACATCATCCAAGTAACTTGTTATGTGAGAACTCCAGTTCCCTCGTGAGAACATACAAACAAGAAGCAAAGCAGAGACCTCTGCCTTCCACCTGGACTGTCATTCTCTTACAGCAGAAAGCACAAACGCTTGTGTAAAAATCAGGTTTACAGAATTCTCATTTCTTAGTACACACATTTGTTGATCATGGAAACTCACTTGTGAGCTGCTTCCCAGGCTTCCTCTTCTTCCAGAAGATCTCTTATGATGTCCGAACTGGAACTAAAAGGACATGTGTCAGCAATGCCACATCTTTTGAGGTCTGTCCTAATCCAAACATGAGCACTGGGCGATGGGGGCTGGGAGGTGAGCAGAGTGGCACAGGAGACAGGGATCAGTGGGCATCTTCCCCATCCACATTGTGAGGATGGTTGCATAGCCACATTCCTATGTGCAACCTCATCAAATTGGTGAGGATACTTACAGTTTTATTATATGCCAATTAAACTTCAAAACAGCTGTAAAAGCTGTAATGAATTAGCAATTATGAAAACTATGAAGAAAGCTTAAATAAATCCCTCAACACAAAACCTGAGTCTAGACAGAGCAGAAACATGAAGCTCTTTAATCTCCTATGAAAATCAAAGATCAAATCACATTTTATCAGTTCCCAACACTATCAAAATGGAAAAAAAAATGTGTTTTAAAATGTAAATTCTAGTGCTGAGATTCCTAAGAGATGAGTAAGTGGCTTTTAGTCTCTTGGTAACCAACATAAAGTAAAGTATAATGCGAGTGAGCCTCGCTAACAATGCAAATGTGTTATAAACTGTGGCCTCGCTTCAAATGCCACGCTCTCCAGTGGGGCATGGAAAACAAGGTTGTCGGGGAGGCATGAATTATTTCTTTAAAAGAAAAATTGTTTGAAGCCTTTAGCAACTTGTTCCCATCTTATCAATAAAAGTTACTTCAGAAAACCCATGTGTCTACCAGTATCAAACACACTTCTCTAGAAACTCCACACTCAACGTCATGGGAACCAAATGGGACTCAAAAACAAAAGGCACTTAGCAGAATGAGGAAGGCTAAAATGAGAAACAAGGTTAAAAATATGAAATGCTAGTAATTCTCTAGTGATACACTAATAAATAAAAAAAGCTTTAAATTATGAAGGCTTAAAGTGTCAATGAGGCTGGAGAGATAACTCACTAGTTAAGAACACTAGCTGCTCTTCTAGAGATCCTGAGTTCAATTCCCAGCAACCACATGGTGGCTTACAACCATCTGTAATGGGATCTGATGCCCTCTTCTAGTCTGTCTGAAGAGAGCAACAGTGAACTCACATACAATACATACATACATACATACATAGATACATACATACATACATACATACATACATAAATCTTAAAAAAATGAAGTGCCAGTGAAGCACTTTCAACCATTTCTGACAAGCCACACTGAAGCAGCATTTGCCTCTGATGCTTAGACCAAAGAGGCCCCAGAGATCATCAAACACAGCTCTGCACCAAATGTTTCCTTCATCTCACATGTTGCTCCAAGTCCTCTTCATTCTCAAGAGCCTCATGCAAGGTCTAGGGTGTTCAGTCACACTGCATGTGTGCCCCCGACCTTCTAGTACCTTTCCTGAGCATATGAGAACAACCTCACTGGTAATAACATCTTCAGGTTACTTGTGGCTTGAAAAATATCCATAATGATAAGGAACAGATGTGACTTCAACAATACTTTAGTTGTGTTTGTTCACACAGCATTACACACTTACAATTTTTAAAAGGATAGCACATATATATGTAGGATATTGCCTTGACTGTAGTCAATTCTGTCTTATCTACATATGAACTGCAATTATTCCTTTAGGTCTCTGTGTTGAGAACCCGTGATGCAGTCTGTCATAGTACTCAAATATCTACTATTTTTTCCACACTCAGAAATGCCCCCCTTCAAAAGCTAGGTGTCCTCTACAATGCACACTTCAGCAGTAAAATTCACCCAACACTGGAAACCTTTCCTATTAAACAACTACTGAAATGGAGCTTTTATTAGAAGAGGAAGCAGAGCAGAAAGCCCTCCAGGTCACCTAGCTGATTTCACTAACTTCATTACTCTCTGGGAGGCAGACCCACACGGCTCCTCGCTGACTCACACCCACTGCCACTGACTGCCATTTTCACAGACTCAGTTTTAAATCTTTCTAGCACAAAGTCTCAACTCTGGCTTCTCCTCATTATGCAGTAACTGTTCTAACTGTAGGAAACCTGCAGCCAGTTAACTTTTTCAAGTCCTCCTCAGCTCTTCCTGGAAAAAGTCTACAGCAGTATTTCTGGGAGTTTGGGAGATTACTTGACTATGTTTCTGGCTTGTGTCACATGGTCGGAGGAAACAGTAAAGTCTGCTTCTTGTCCAACAACTCTTCCATCAAAAACACTTTAAAAGGCATAAAGAGGAGGAGGAGGAGGAAGAGGAAGAGGAGGAGGAGGAGGAGGAGGAGGAGGAGGAGGAGGAGGAGGAGGAGTAAAGGTTACAAACATCTGTGGTTCCAGGTAAGTAAGCAGAATGATCAGGCCTGTCCAGAACCTGACAGTCTGTGATTGGTTTCCCTAGGTGATTTCAGAACAACCAGCAGAGTCACTGGTTTGTTCGAGGAAATATAATATATGCAGGGCACATAGCATACACTTGAAAGGCTTCTGAAGTGATGCCTCAGTGGAAACAGATGGCAGATTCACAAAGCACACCTAGTTGTTTCCCCCTGCCTTCAATACTAACGTTGAGTCACAATGGCATCTCCCGTTACTTTCTTTTCACTGCATCTTCGACACTCATAAGAACAATGCCTAAATCAAAACCTGACTGATACAAAGCCTCCAAAGTGTCAAGTTCACCAGCTAGGAAGTTTTGGGGTTGATGCTACATCTACTACTTCAACTTTTGTCATCTCTGACTACTAAGAGTTGACAGGAACACAAGGCAATACAGAGAAGAGTGTACAAACTTGTCTAAAGAAATGCACTCACCATATCCTTCACAAAAGCAGGGGGTCAGAAATTAAGCACACAGTTCATAGTTAGGATTTTACAAAGGGACTACTGCACGTGAGTCACTCAAAGATTTCTTTTCTGTACAAAGAAGCAATTCATATTTTTGAACTCTTAGTCATTTTAATATGCCTTGAAGATAACATATTCTCCTAAAATATCATTAAAATATTTTTTAAAAATTTCAGAAGAAATTTAATCACTGACTCTGATAAGCCTGAGGTCAGAGCATGTACAGTCCTAAATAAGTATAACTTTTACATCTAAAGCAAAGAACTTCTGCATAAACTCCATCATCTCTACTAGCTAGGTTTGCAACAACTGGAAGATTGTAATTTGGGAAAATGGATAAACAAGAGGTCTTGCACATGAAAGTTACAGTATAACTACGGAAGAGTATTCAGACTGTGCCCTCTGATGTCGTCATCTGCCCAGCTGTCATACATTATATAGATCACACGTGAGAAAGCCTCATCGAAAATTATATGAAAATTTTAAATTCTAAATTCCCAAGCTGGGTTCTGCAAGATTCTAGTAGGCTTAATTTTTCATAGCATTTAGACCTTAATTTCAGCTCAAACTTGAGAAAAATAGGCTAATGCATTTGTATGTACCTTGGAATAGCTGAGAATTTCAGTACTGCTCTCTGAACATTACTTTTAAAGAAAAAGCTATTTGCATATTCCCTCTATAGCATACAATTTCATATAACAGTAGATTTACTACCACACTTGAAAAGATGTCAAATATTTCTGCAAAGCTATGATGTAAAGTTATCTGGGGGGGGGAGTGGGGCACACATGCACAGATTTACTGTCAGCATTGCTACGATGGGACTCCTGTTCCTGTCACTGAATGTGCAACCTTAGGCAAGTTCTGAAACCCTGCTAAACCTCAAAGCCTATAATTATAGAGTCAGGACACGTATTTTGCAGAGATATTTTAAAGATGATCAATACAGCACACTAGATGTTAAGGACAGAGATTGGCACGTAGTGAGTGTTCAGTCAATGTTGCCTCCATTTTCATAAGCAGGCTTGAGCCTGGATTTTCCAAAACACTGTCACAGCACTGTTTCAATTTGCCCCAGGAAACTTGATCACTATATGCACCACTTTAATCTTTGATTCCCACTGTTTCTATGACACCAGGTGCAAAAATCATCAGAGCCTAATTATCTAGCTTGGCTGGTACGAAGGATACCAGGAGGAAAAACACAAACATCTGCTACAAAAAAAAATCCTGTGGATTAAAGATTACTTACAAGTGGAATTTTCTATTGTCTAATAGTTACCTGCTTCCAAGTGTCTTCATTGTGGCAATAATTTGAATGTGGTTAAGGATATGCAACATTAAAAAGAAAACAACCTCCTTTACTACAAATCAAGTATTCAACAAAAGGGTACAAAACCTGCCAGACAATGATCTTTCAGTAAGCGCTGCCTGCTAGCACGAATCCCAAAGCATGATTTCTAGTAATCTGTTGTTTAGAGTGAGCCAATAGTCTACATGCAAAATACTCTAGCAGTGGTAGTATTAATATTAATAACTATTAGAAGTGGCATAATAAAACAGTCAACACACAGTTTTGGTTTTTGTTTGTCTTTTTTATTTTTTTTTTATAAAAATCACTCAGTGATGATAAAGGTCACCATTTTTCTGCGTAACTACTATTAGCAACCACTGTGATAATTACCTTATATACTAGCTTTAATTCAGACCTGTTCTAGGTTTCATACCATTTGCAAGGTGAACAGAGGCTCAGAAAGCTCCCTAGCCCCATCCCCCATCCCCCAAAAAAGGACAGGAATACCAAGCTCATTTTCTTTCCACCAACCATGCTGCTACAGCCAGAGGAAGCAGAAACTCAAATACTCTTCATCTTGTAGGGTGGTACCATTCATTCCTCCCTACATTTCTATCAGTGAGATTTTACCAGACAACCAACTGCAAACTTCATAGATAACAGCTAAAAAGAGCTTAGTGGGTTCCACATCTAGAAACTAAGATGACAAGGCCTCAGATGACAGGTAATAAAAAGAATGTATTTATCCAGTCTTACAAAACAGCAATGAAGTTCCTATTTAGTTTAAAAAGTAGTCCCAATGCACGAATGTCTTAGACTGGGTTTCCATTGCTGTGAAGAGACACCATGACCAAAGCAGCTGTTATAAGAAAACATTTCCTTGAAGCTGGCTTACAGTTAGAGCGGCATGGCAGCTT